CTGTCCGGAGGCCGGTGGTCGGTGCTGGGTGCCGGTGCGGGCCGGCGGCGGGGAGCGGGGGGTGTGGACATGTGACGCCGCGGTCATGGGTTGCTTGGTGCGGGCTCCGGAGCATCCCGGGGGGAAGGGGTAGGAGTAGGGACTGCGGGTGGGGCCGGCCCTGGCTGTCGTGGGCGAGGAGCCCCGAGCGGCCCGGGAGCTGTGCGGGTGTCTCCCGCTGCCTTCCAGCGCTGGCCGCGTTTATCCTGCTTAGGCCTGTTTCGGCCGTGTAATTACGGGAACGTTGTTCGTCATGGGCGTGTTGGAGGGTTTTGCTAAAGTTTCCCTAGGCCGTCTGGAGCAGAAGCTGTCAAGTGCCTGGTGAGGTGGAGGTTGGGGGGAATTATGTCAGTGTGGGAGCGCTTCCCCTTTTGCACGGTGCTTCTGTGGGTGGGATTTGGACGTTGAAGTGAAGCCTCTAAGTGAGGAAAGTAGAGCAATGTAAGAAGATGGTCTTCTCTCTGTAGGTGGGTGATGCCAAGCACAGCCATGAAGAAAAAGGTAAGAAGTGAAAGGAGAATCCTTCACAGTTGTGTTTTCCTTCCCCATCTGCGTTTGCTAATGTCGTTATGTGTTTGCATCTCTACCTCGGTGTGTTTTTTTGGCTGCCAGGTACCTCTTAAGACTCTCGGAGTCAGCAGATATGTCCTTTGCTTAAAGTGCTAGAAATTAAAATCGGGTTTGGGTTGATTCGCTGGCATGAGCGGTAGGGCAACCTCACTGCAGGGCCATCCTCTATAACTGCTGTATGAGTGTTTCTGGTATGTGTTGCAAAACCCTTTGCTTGCTGAGTACCTCCCGCAGCGCGAGGGAAGAGGATATGCTCTAACCTGCTTCGCTGGCCTGTGGGGAGACCCTTCTGGTGTGTTACAGAAACTTGCGTGGGGAGCTCATAATTCGCTGAGGGCGCCTGGGAGGATGAAACTTAACCCATGGGGAAGGAGTAGCGCTTTTTCTGAGGATTGGGGTGGGGGGGTAGGTGTATTCCAGCAGTAAGCATATTCAAAGCCATTAAAGTGGCTGCGTAGAGAATATACAGCTGGTCTTTCCATGGTGTGCTGGAATTGGGTTTCCTGCCTGGCCCTATGTGCTGGTGTCTGAACCCTTTGAAAGGCCTCCGCGGTCTAAAACTTGGGAATTGGGTTTGCGTGTAGGCTGACTTGGGCTGTGCCTTGGAGCCGTATTGAATTTCTGCAGGTGGTATGAAATAAGATATGTTGATGTTCCGTCTTTCTGCTCTGTGAGTAGCTCAGGGGAGAAGACAGCGTAGCTTTCCAGGGGTTTGCTCTGGAAAGGCTGGTAGGTATGACCTGACCAGCCTGCCTCTCTGAGGAACAGTCCTTGTTACCAAACCATTGAGGCGTGTGGTCAGCTTCTTTTTGGAAAGGGCACTTGCCAGCCTGTGAAATGTTGCAGTTGCTCTCAGAAGGATAACTTGTGCAAACAGGATGGTGTGATTCTGCCTCTCTTGTTTTGCCTTGAGATTCTGGCAGCTGTTGCTGTGCAGTCATAGAGTGAGGTTGGGAGTTGAGCGAGTGCCTTCCCAGCTAGCGTTTGGCACTGCGGGCTGGGCAGGCAGACTCAGGCCGGTTGCACTCTCATGAAACCTATCCTTGATGATAGACTTTCAGAGCTGTTGCCAAAGGCTGAATTTGACTTTGTAACTGGAACTTGTTTAACAGCTGTTTTTGTGAGCAAGTCTGTGTTGGCTGTCACTGTTGGGGGTTTTTTAATTTTTATTTTTAGATCACAATGTAGAGCCTTGCCTTGTGTGACTGTCTCCCCTCTTCCCTCCCCCAGTCATCACCTAGCCTTTGGCTATCAAAGGTGCTACCTTTCCTTTGGCCTGATGGTCTGCAAACAGGACTCTAGAGTCAAGTGTCTCACCTATACGATAGCCTGGTGCACTTGAACTGGGCTGTCCCATCTGCTTTTAACTTTTTGCTGGTCTTCTGACACTTAAAGCTTGAAAAGTAACTTGTATTTCACTTCTGATGGGGAAGAGAAAGCAAGATGCATAAAGAGAAGGAAAAGAGTGTGATTAGAAGAGAAGTAATGGGTGGAGAATACCAGTGCCAAGTGGGCAAGGGATTGTTTCCAGCTTGGTCTTAAAGGCTTGAGATAAAGCTGATCTTTTGTCTTGGCAAAGTCCTTTGCTGTCATCAAAAACATCAAGGCTTCACCTGTGGTGCCAGCACATTTGGAAAGTGTGCAGGTGCAAGGGGCTGGGGACTGGGGAGGCTGTGGCAGCTTTGGGAGCAGCTCCCGCTCTTCCCCGAGTGCTGGTTGTGAGTCCTCTGCCAACGTGCGTTGGGAAAAGGGGGTCCGGTGGACAGTGGCTGTGGGCTGGCTGCACTTCCTTCTGGGTGGTAGGCAGCTGGTTGAAGGAACAGGAGTGTGGTGCCTGGAAGGGCAGAGATTCTTGGTGGGGTGCAGGGGACATAGTTCAAGAATGCAAACAAGATGGAAAGGTTTTCAGTCTGACCATGATTCAGTGACCATGGATAGCAAGGAGGTAAGGATGTCTGTCTCTCCCACTTTCCCAGGCATGGTACTCTTCTTTGCCTCTCTCTTCTGATGCATTCACATCTGAAATATGTTGGTCCTGTGTTTTGGTGGCTTCAGCAATAAGATGTTAAACCCCAGGGAGCCGTGAAGGACTTAGTGCTCTGTGGTAGCTAATTCTTTCTTCTCTTTTTTTTTTCTTCCCAGGTGCTGCTGATGGGTAAAAGTGGGTCTGGGAAGACCAGCATGAGGTCCATTATCTTTGCAAACTACATCGCCAGGGACACACGGCGCCTGGGTGCCACAAGTAAGACTTCTCTTCTTTGAACTGCAAGTTCTCAGGGCTCAAACCCCCTTCATTAAAGGGGTGAGGCTGTTCCCTCCAGCAATCGCTGCCTCTCCTGTGGAGTGGGTGGATGTCTGCTGATCCTCCCAGCTGCCACACCTCACACGGAACTTCACTCCTGAGTTCAGCTGAGGGGAGGTAGGAAGCTGGAGTGAAAAGGAAGGCAGGACTAGGTTCAGTTATGCTGCTTTATTCTTGAACTTTTATCCTTAACTCTTTTTTGATCAGGAAGCAGCCTTTGCTGCAGCTACACCTATTGTTGGAGGAGTGTTCAGAGCTTCCTCATGGTCCTTCTTGTTGGTGAAGCTTTTCTGTTGTTAGCCAGCTGATCGCTAGTGCAGCTGGAGGCACAGTGATCTAGCTATGCACCTGTGGTTTTGGCAGGATGATACACTAGGCTTAATTAGTGTCTTCTTTTTTTTTCTCTAAAGCCACAGATCTGAAAAAGCAATAAATGATTCCTCTGAAACAGGGGTATGAATTGTCAGGATCTAATGCTCCTCACTGGGAAGCATCTGTGAGGACTTAATGTCATGGATTGGTGTACGTTTCCTCTTTGCTGTAAATTTGGCCTGTTCATAAAGTTTACATTCTTTGTGTTATGGTTTTATTTTTTTGAGGCTTGCTTAAGGCCTTGCAGAGTGTGCTGGAACTAATGTCATTCTTAATATACCACAAAGATCAGAGAACATGTTGTTAAAGGGGAACAACCTGCTGTGCTTCTCAGGAGAATAGTGTCCTGGGCAGAGAGTAGGAAGGCTTGAATTACTCTGGGAACTGTCTCTTCCCATAGCACCATCAGCTACAGATTTATGTACAACAATGTTGTTTAGATGGGATTTTACAAATTGTGGGCTGTGTTGTGAAGAATGGCATTTTTGGCTGCCCAAGGAGGTAGCTCTGATCCGGGCGTGTGGTACAGTTGGTAAACTCTTGTTGTCTCTTTCCAGTTGATGTGGAGCACTCCCATGTTAGATTTCTAGGAAACCTGGTATTAAACCTCTGGGACTGCGGAGGGTAGGTACTGTTTATTCTTTTGCTTTTGAAACCGTTGGGGGTTAGCTCTGGGGAATAAGGCTGGGGATGTAACAAAACAGAGGTCCTCCTGCCCCAGAGGGACGAGTATGCTGCTTGTGTATGAAGGGAGTAGAACAAGCTTCATGCGTGCACTGTAAGACTGGCGAGACAGCTCCGGAAAGAATGGATGCCACATCTTAGGCTTGTGTGTGGAGGCGGGTGGAAGAGGTTGGCATGATTATGCTGTCTCTTGAGTTACCCCTGCATAAAAGGCGCAGTCTGGAGGTCTACCCTTCCCTTGCTGCCTCCTTTCTTCTGCTGGCAAAAAGGCTGAGCCCTTCACCTGAACTTTCTCCTGAGGTGGTGGGAGGTAACATGGGTTTCAGAATTGCTCGTCACCAGCTTGATCCAAATGGGATGTGTGCTGAGAAGCGATGCTGAAGGTTGACAGTGATCCTGTGGCTCCTGGAAGCAGCTTTTTGAAGAATGCTCTCCCACTGACAGAGCCTCAGCAGAGCTATCCAACTTTGCTAAGCTTCATCAGCTCTCATGTCCTCATGTGTTGTCTGAGCCACATTCAAAAAAAGTTAAAGGAGATTCAAATCCTGTAACAGCAGGCTATACTGATGGTTTTAGTTATGTTTTAGCTTCTGATACCCTGGCTTTTTTATATGTAACTTTCTAAAAGCCAGTCTGGGTCCAGAAGCAATGTAGCTCTGTTTGCAGAGGACACTGAGCAGCCAGCTGTGATGTGAGGGAAGCTTCAGCTTCCTGTGAGACTGGTGAGCAGATGCTCTTCAGGGGCATCCAACTTGGCTTGGTTGGAAATGCTTAGGGACCCATACGTCATGGGGAATATTGCCACCCATGGAGTTCTTGTCTGGACTCCTGTGATAGGGTCCATAGCTCAAAATGCAAACCTTGCTTTTCTAGCAGGAGGTACTTTACACGTAGCAACTTCCCTGACAATGCTAAGCAAGACCTGGTTGCTCTGATGGGAGTCTCCTTGCTTTGTTGCTTTGCTCCTTCTCAGACAGGACACCTTTATGGAGAACTACTTCACCAGTCAGCGGGACAACATCTTCCGCAACGTAGAAGTCCTCATCTATGTCTTTGATGTAGAGAGCCGTGAACTGGAGAAGGACATGCACTACTACCAGTCATGCTTGGAGGCAATTCTTCAGAACTCTCCTGATGCAAAGATCTTCTGTCTAGTGCACAAGATGGACTTGGTGCAGGAGGATCAGCGTGATTTGGTGAGAAGCTGATAGTTGCCATAGAAATGCCTTCAAATAGAGCATCTTTTGACTGTGCTAATGTGTTACTGTTTCATACTTCGAATACAGCCCCATCAGTACTGTTCCTAGAAGGGTTTCTCAGATATTAAGGATTGTCAAAGCCCTCTAAGCTTTTTCTGCCTTTTCTAAATTGTATGTCATTGCTATCTCTTGCATATAATCTAGTGGAGAGCAGCACCAATGTTTTTTAGTGACAAATACTCTAAGCCTTTTCTTTTATAGCACTGATTCTAGTGCTTTCACCAGACCTTGGCTCCAGAAGGGAGGTAGAACTGAAAGGAAGGTAGAACTGAAAGAAATCCAGCACTCTTAAACTCACAGGTCATCACGTGGGTGCCTTTGTGGATGATGGTGGTGACAGTGATGGTTGGTTTCTCTTTAGCTGTTGCTTTCAGTCCAGCATAGGGTCTGTTCTAAAGCATAACCACCAAAAAAAAAAAAAGAGTTGAAACTTTGCCAGTTAACTAGAAGGTGGTTTCTATCAGTTGATTCTGTCAGTTTGGCTTGCCTGCCCAGAGATCACCTCTTAAGCACTCCTCTGTCCCAAGAGGCATCCTGCAAAGGCTGGGGATCAACCTTTCAGAGATGTTTGGTGTTTTCTGTTCTTTTCAGGGCTTTTGAAAGGTTGCAGGGAGATTGGAAGATGTTGAGTTCCTACCAACCTTGCTTTTTCAGCTTGGACTGAAAAGCAACCAACTCCTGATACCAAAAGAAGAATTAGCTTTGTGGGTTAGACAAGCACATCCCTGGCTGCTTGGCCACTCCCTGGCTTGCAGCAAGTTTGGAGGCCCCTTTAGGCTGTTGGCTTTTGTCTGAAGTAAGAAGTCTTATTAAACTCTCTTCTGATTCCTGGTGAGTATGTGCCTGGGCAGCTGTAAAGGAGGCCATGCGAGGTCCTGCGGCTGAAACCACACCCTGACCTCCCTGCATAGACAGAGTTCTTCCACGTAGCAGGTTGGCTTCAGATCACTCACACTTGTCTGAGAGTGGTGATCCTCCTCTTCCAGTTTTAGTTCTGCCCTCCAGCTCAGTGCAGAAATAGCTCAAAGTTTGTTCATAGGGTTGGTTCAAGGAGCTTTTCCTCACTTCCATCTGCCTTCCCTCCAGGCTGAAGGATGAGTCTAAAGTCTTCTTGATGCAGTCCTGTCCAGATTTGTTTTGGGACTAGTGGACAAATGCTGGTTCTACGTAGTTGTGCAGGGTCTAATGAGGCCCTGAGGTTGAGGGGTAGACAGAAGAGGGGCCTTACTTCAGGCACGCTTTCAATGGGTATCACTGCACACCCATCGAGATCTGTTTTGAGGTAACTGCTGCTCAGAAGAACACGCAAATACTGGGCCAAATCACTGTCTCTATAAATCTTACTGAAGCCTTTGGTATCTCAGGACCCAAATGGTAAGTGTTGGCCTACACAGCATTTCATGGGGATCGGTTAATGTTCTGTCATGGTCCTAAAAACAGTAATCTGAGGTGAAGGTGGTCATCGTGTCTTCCCCTGCAGAGGCATGTGGCTGGCTGTCCTGCTGCTTCTTTAGCAGTTATGTAGGAGCCTGGCACAAGGCTGTCTGGTCTTTGCTGTTCCCCCTGCCCACTTTTTTTTGTAACCATAAATTCTAAGGGCAGAGTGTGGTGTGAGAAGAGAAGACTGTGTAAGTACATGCCTCAGAGCTGCTCATATTGATGAACCTCGAGTGCTGGCTTCCTATCCTGTTCTCAGTGATGGAGATTTTTGCTGGTGACCAGGGACTTGTCAGAATGTAGGTCCTCAGAGACACTCGTGCGTGTCTGCTTCCATTCCCACTCCGCAACACCCATAGTTATTTCAGCTTTGAGTCCCAGTCAGATCTATTGTGAGACAGCCAGGATCTGCTTGTCCCTGCTGCCCCAGTGGAAGGGATTTCTGCCAGCTGTCCTGGCCAGCGTGCTGTGCTGCTGTTTTCTCCAGTGCTGTAGGTACTTGAGGTTTGTTTGAAATGCATGCTGTAAATGCAATACAGCAACCACACCAAAGGCAGAAATATTTACACTCAACTGCTAATCATTTTTTTTTATTTCCCAGATTTTTAAAGAGCGTGAGGAAGACTTGAAGCGCCTTTCCCGTCCCTTGGAATGTGTTTGTTTTAGAACTTCCATCTGGGATGAAACACTTTACAAGGTTTGTACAGCTTCCTCTCCGTATCTGGCTTTCCCCCTCCTGCTTGAAAACAAGAGCATGAGGAAGCCAAGTGGTTAGTTGCTACTGGTTGATTGGTGACTGGTCCTTTTTAGTTCTGCAGCAACTACTTCTGGAGGTTAGCTGTTGTAAACGGTATCTGAGCATCCTGGTTTTAATTAGAAAAAGTAAAACCCCTCCACATGTTGGAGTCCTGGTGTCAGTATCTTAATACTGCTTAAACACTTTGCCTGGCTACTTTAGAAAGAGCTGCTGCATCTTTTAGTCATGTTTATCCATGGAGTTGTTTCCTGTGTTTCTCTGCAGCACTGTTAAAACACGTGCATTTACCATCCTGGGAATTTGCTTTGCTTTTGGGAGGGGAGGGTTTTGGGGGGGGGGTTTTGTGGGTTGTTTTTTTTTTTGCTGTCAGTCTTGACTGCAGTGTCAGAGGTCTTCCAGGTGTGGGAGTAGTGAGTGGTACCTGGGCTACACTGAGAGCAAATGATTGTTATAATTGTTAGCTAATGCTAATAAGCAGTGGTGGTAGTGGAGTGGCTGGGTTGCTTGTCTGAAGGTGAGGACCATTTGGCTCTTTCTCTTGACTTTGGTGGGACTTTGCATGGCAGATTTCACCATCCTAGCAAATCCATCCCAAGCTGCAGCAAATTCCCCTGCCTTCACTGTATGATGCATTTGGCTGAGGCTGGTACAGTACCGTATGCCAGACATCACTCTTCATAAAGCATGTACCCAGCTCCCTCTAGAAATCAGCCTTCCCAAGCAGTGGTGTACCCTGTCCTCCTGCAGGCATCCCTGATGTTCATCAGTTACGCTGGTTACTTTATTTGAGCAGGTTATACAGCGGCAGACCTGTGCTGTTCTAGACACAGCCCTGCTGGAGCTCTTCAGAGCTTGTGCCCTTGGCTTGGGCTTTTAACTTTGCATTTGGCAAGTGGGATGGTCAGAGTGTTTGGTAAATATCAGGTACTTGGTAAGTAGGATACCCCCTGCCTCCTGGGATGGAGCATGCGGTCAGGCACTGACGCGAACCTGGGTCAGTATGTAGGCAGTGAGGTAAAGCTGAGTGTGGAGGACCTGAGTCTGAATGAGGACAGACGCCTATTATGGCATCCCCAGTCCCTTCTGGGCTTGTTCCTGACTCATTGGGTTAGATTAGAGCTTTCTGTTTGGATCAGTGATGAGCTGCCAAGTATCCATCTGCATGTTGACCTTGCTCAAGATTTAAAAAAAACCTCTGAAAACTTGAGCAAGTTTATCTGGGAGCAGTAGACGGAAGCATTGCAAGCTTAAAATGAGGATGATTGAAGCCTGTTTAATAGTATTCTAGTTTCTCTGTGACTGATGTGGAGAAGAACTTGACGTAGTGAAGATGACTCAGGTCTGGGGTACCACTGGTAGTCTCCACTGTAGTAGAGATACCTGGACACAGAGGTGGGAGAAGCTTCTCAGTCTTGCCTAGGCTATCAACACCCAGAAGTGCAAATAATCTGTTTTTGAGCACATTGCTTAACAAAGGGATGAGGCAGAGGAATGCTAATGCAGCCCTTGTGTTGTGTCTTTCTTCATTGACAGGCATGGTCCAGTATAGTCTATCAGCTGATCCCCAATGTCCAGCAGCTGGAAATGAACCTGAGGAACTTTGCTCAGATCATCGAGGCAGATGAAGTGCTTCTGTTTGAGAGAGCCACTTTCCTGGTGAATACAGCAGTTCTGCCCTTCGGGTTCCTCTGCCCAGCCTAGGATGGAGTTCCCTTAATGGAAAGTGCTGTTGTGGCAGTAGCCCAAAGAGAGGTGCCAGCGCCAGATGGCAGAATGCATTGATCCAGGCCTTGTGATATTGAAAGTAGCTGACGTGACTCCATGGCTCACGGGACCTTCCCAAAATTTCCACTTCTAGCAGTTTAGCTGAGGGCTTGATGGTTATTTCCCTCTTCCAGGCTGTGAGGGGGTTTCATATCCCCATTCTGTTGTTGACTGTGGGACATTTTTGAGAATTCCTTTCTGCACAGGGCAAGAACCTTCTTTAGCTTGAAATTAGCCTTTTCAGTTCCTCCTGGGCTGGCATTTTAACTGGTCTTGATTTCTGCTTTTATTTTTTTCGTCTGATGCTCTACAAACCCGGAGTATGGATAGAGGATCACAAGCAATTGGATTGCAATGGCTTTCAAAGTTACCGGCTACACGGTAACTGCTTCCAATCAGTTGTCTCTGCAAGGTAAAATGTGTTGGTTAAAACAACCATTGCTGCTTGTCCATCCATACTCTTGGTTTCTGGCTTGGTCTCTTCAGACTTTGCACCAAAATCCTTGCTGACCTGAAGGAATGGGTTTGAATTTTTTTGAGTGTTTTCCCTGATGGCCAAATGTCTGATTTTGAAATGATGGAGGGAATGTGGAAAAGGAACTGTTACTTTTCTCACTTTTTAAACTATCAGAAGTAAACACCCGCCATTTTTTGCAAGTTCTGCTTTTTGACCTTTTGTAGATAACAAATAGTTCCACCTTGGTGGTATGTAACAGTACTTTTGTTATAAGTACTTTTTACTGAAAAAGAATAACTTTTGCTGCAAAAATTCTATGCTTATTTTCAGCGTAATGGTGAATTTTTACAAGACTCTTTCTTCTCACTTTTTTCATATATTTAAACTTCCCCTCAGGACTCTTTTCTCCTGAAGTGAAATCTTACTCTGAAATTGTATTCAAATCACAGTAACAGAAAAACCTATCTGGAAAGTTAAGGAATGGACTTGCATACAATGAAGGCTTTGGTATGAATGCAATCCTTGAATCTGGCTAAACCTGTACTTGTGTGAATAATTGGGCAGGTTTAAAAAGTAGGACGTACATGATTGTTTTAAGGTGCTCAAGGGGAAAAAAAAAAACCCAAAACCTTCGTTCTCGCAAGCCTGTTAAATGTGATTCCATAGGTAGAAAAGGGTTTAACATCCTTGCGCAAGGGCATCTGACATTTCCAGTAGCAGTTGGTTTCATGATTCTTAAGAACTTAAAGCACACAGCGTAAGTGTTTTTAAAACACTCCTTTTTGGTTTGCTGTGAGAGCAAAGGTGATGCAACTGATTGATTGTGTGCCATTCCCCTTATGCAGTAAATGCAGTTCTTGGTCCGTTAGCTAACTTGGCTGAGGAGTAAAGGTCTGTAGGCTGCCGGCCTTGTGAAAATGGTCAGGGAGAAATAGCTGTGGATCACACTGCAAGGATTTCTAAAAACTTTTGGTCCTTTGAATCTTTGCAGCCAGGCACTAAGGTCTACATGTTGCTGCTGGATCACTGTGTGGGAGGAAGAGGAGGGGAACTGATCTGAATGCAGGCAGCTTAGCGCAGTCTTGGTCTGACTCCGTGAACTGGTGGAGAAAGAACTCCCTAGGAAACCAGCTGCCTTTGTTCCGCTTTTCTTAGGGAGGAATGGCTTGCTTTGGCTTTGAGAGCAGTGCTTGTGCATCCTACCTGTTGCAGAATGGGAAATTTCTCAGGTTCAGTCCTTGAGAATCTGCAGCACAATAGGCTTAGGAGGGAAAAGCTGTTTCAGCCTTTGTCAGGTGTCTGTTTCCCCTACCTGAAGTGATGGTCTTGCATTTTTTTTTCCTCTCCTTGCACTTTCTTTTTCTTTGAATCAAGGTTTAAATTCCTGCTAAGTTGGAGTATTCACACCTCAAATGGAGGTCTCTTGCATATCTTACATACTTGTATCTGCGCTTGTGAAAGGCTTCCTGGTGATTGTATTGCTGAGTCTTCTTTTACCATGAAAGCACCACAAGTATTGTTGCAAATAGTTGCCAAGATTCAATCTGCAAAAGGCAAAGGGTGCTGGTCACCACCTGTTTCCCACGATTGCTGTCCAGTCTGAGAAACCTGTGCTGAAATAAATTGCTAACTCTGCACTCTTTCTCTCTTTCTGCCTTCCAGGTCATTTCTCACTATCAGTGCAAAGAACAGCGGGATGTCCACAGATTTGAGAAAATCAGCAACATTATTAAACAATTCAAGCTAAGTTGCAGGTGAGCTGGTTTAATCATTAGGTGGGGAAGATACCTCAGCAGGTATTTCGGCTTCATCCAGAAGCACGAGGGCTCTCCAAATTAATACTAGTTCTGTGACTCCTCAGCAAGCTGAGATGCCATAGTTAAATTGCACCACGCTTAAACACAACTGAGTTAATTGTTATCTTTTGTAACTTCCTCCTTTGCTGATGGTTGAAAGAGGTTTGTTTTGAAATGGCCGTTTTCTTCTAGGCCTCATTCTCCTGGGCAAGGTAGGGAAGTTCCAGGACTGAACTGATAAATGAGTGACAGTCAACAGTGCTGCAGAAAGTCAGGTGGAAAGCTTTGCTTCAGACCCTGTACCACAATGCTGGTTTGGGAGGAAGAGGCTTGCAGACCCTATTTATCAATATTTCGAACAGAAAAGCAGAAAGCTTGGCTTTTGAACAGCCTCCAGGTTTTCCACAGTGAGTTGGTAGTATCTGCAAGTGTTTGGAGCCTGAATAGGATGGAGAAGTGGCTGCATGGTTTACAGAGTCATCTCCAGATGTTTCAGTTTTATACTTAACTTCTACTGGTTATCCACAGAGGGTTCACCTGGCCTTCTAAACGGCTGAGCTGTTACATCTGTGGGGCAATTGATGTTGACTGCCTGGGTGTAGCAGACTCAGTCAGTGGGGTTGCATATCTTGAGTTACCTTCACCATTCAATGTGCAAATCACTTTATATTGTTCTCGTTTAGCTTAAAACTAAAGAGTTTTTTCTTTTGTAAAACAAAACAACAAAACCAACCAAACTTGGAGTTGCACCTGGTGTTGCTCCCCAAGTGGGAACTCAAACACTTCTTTGTTACCAACAACTCAAATAATGGGATGTTGGCTATGTGGGCGCAAAAGCTGTTTGAGCAATGTTACAGTAAATAGTTCATTTACTCTTACTTTTTTTTCTTTCTTTCTCTTTTTTTCCTCCCCTCTTAGTAAGCTGGCAGCTTCTTTCCAGAGCATGGAGGTCAGGAACTCTAACTTTGCTGCTTTCATTGACATCTTTACATCAAATACATATGTGATGGTGGTGATGTCAGACCCCTCAATACGTAAGTTGAAGTGAAGACAAGCCTCTGGCCTCTTTTTTTTTTTTTGTTTGTTTGCAGGGACAAAAAGCTGAATGAGTCTAGTTTAAACTGTGTTTCCCTTGTAAAAATGACAAAACACCAGGCAAAGCAGTAAAACTGATTGTAATTAAAAGACAGAGGGATCTGCTGTCCTGCTGGTTTGCCCTGTCTGAGCAGAGGGTGGCGGAAGGTGGTTAAAAAGTGACTTACCTTGCAGGAGGCAAGAGACGTGTGCCTTTGACAGCCAAGCTATTTGTTGCTGTCGAGTGGAGGATCGTAGCAGTGGTGGGGAACCGCTGTAACAGATGTGACCTGATTTAGTAGGTCATGTCTAATAACCTATTTTGGGCTGTTCTGATCTGTCAGCCCCAGTAGTTTTTGGAGAGGAAGCAGGGATGGATCATATTTGAGTTTTTGCTCTTGCTGCCTGAACTGTCTTAGTGGGCAAGGACTCTAATTATAGTAGCATCTATTTATCTTAAAGAAGAAACTGCAGCCAGCAGCGCCAGCCCTTACAGGCACAGCGTGACTGTTTAACTGTTTGCACAACTCCAACTGAAACTGCTCTGTTAGGATTCGAGGTGCTTCAGAGACACTGTCCAGGACAGCCTTGTGGCTTACAGTGTTGATGCTTCCTGTCCTCCTCTTTTTGAGTGGTTTACTGAATTAGGGAAAACCTCTGTAAACCCCCTAACTGGATTAGCAGCTGTGATGATATTGCGATTAGAAGCAGCAAATGAGCAGCTGTGGTGACTTGTGCAGCTATCCCTGTGAGCGAACTGCTTGACCGTAGTTGACTCTGACTCTTCCTTGGTGTTGTACTGAGGTCAGCAAACAGCCCAGACCTTCCAGTGTTAAATTTTGCACGGCTAGGGAGCAGTGGGGTTGAAATAAGAGAGCTTGCTGACAGGGATGTTGCTTTTAGGCAGCGCTTAACTTCTGAGGACTTGGTTACTTGCATCCCTTTTAATTTCTTTTATCTCCCCTGTCCCTTTTCCGTCCTAGCTTCTGCAGCTACGCTGATAAACATCCGCAATGCCAGAAAACACTTTGAGAAGCTGGAGAGAGTGGATGGACCAAAGCACAGCCTGCTCATGCGCTGAACGCTGGCCAAGGCACACGGTCTTTGGGGGGAGAAAAAATGAATTGGAACTACTTATTTTTAGGAGAATCTAACAATGTTGATGTCTTTGTTGGGCTTTGAAATGAGTGTGCTGCTTTATTTTTTCTCCTTTTAACGTTGGACACTAGTCACTCGGAGGATGTCTGGATACACTGCGGACCTTCAAAAGAGACTTCCCTGGCGTATGTGGGGTTGGGAAGAAGTAAGGACAGGTGATGTGCACGTGATCTCGTACTCCTGGTTGTCATGGTGGCACATGGCAGAGCCGTTTTGGATGTTTTGCTCCCGGGTGATCGTATAAGTCACAGGAATGGAATATTTACTGTTTTATTGGTTGGTTGCTAGAATACGTTTATAAATTTCTCCTTGTCTTCAGTCATGAAAATAAATTTTTGCTACCAGGGATTTCAAATCCTAGAGCTTTGGAAAGTGGGTTTTCTTTCTTCTAAAACCTAGGGCAGCTTTGGCAAGCTGCATTTCTCCTTCCACGGTATTGGGAGGTCATTGAAGGCCATTCCAGAGTTTCATTTAAGATAATTTCCCCCGCTCCAGCCTGACGTGGAGGCAAAATGCACTCAGCGGGTGAAGCAGTCAGGCTGGCATTGGCCTCTTGACACTTGCCAAAGTGATGGAAAGACCATGGTAAATAAAAGGGGCCAAAGACCCTAGTTGACCAAGCAGCGAGATGGTCCTGGCATGCCTGGTCTTCATCCTCGTGATCCAGGAGGGGCTGGCATGGGCACAGAGGAGCCCCAGAACGTGTGATGGGTGGTGTGTGCATGAGCTATATTAGCTGTGTTTGCGATGAGCCAGTTGGACAGTGTTTGGCACCGATGTTACTTGACGCTACTGTCTATTTTTTTAATGAATTTTTTGTGTGCATTTCCATTAAACATGGGAACAACAAAAGCAGTGTGAGTTAGGGGAATCTCTGGCTTGCTGGGTGGGAGCTGATGCTTGCCAGCATCTCTCTTGCTGCATCGAATTACTATATAAAAAAGGGTGTGGTGACTCTGAGCCTAGCTCTCCGCTTTGTATTCTCAAAATCATGCTTTTCCCCCCTGTATCCCTGCCCACACACGCACTGGGGAGGGTGGGAAAAATCTGATGGGGTGAGCCCGTTACATGAGAACGGGGAGCTAAAGGGCACCTCTCGGCTGGAGAGCTGAGGGTGGGCTCCGCACAAAGTCTTCCATCAATTCCCAATCTTTACGGCATTAAACACCCGTGTCTTGCACCGCCTGCTCAGCAGATGCGTTGGTGCTCTGTCAGGCTGGGTGTGTTTTCAGTGAGAATCCTCAAGTCAGCATCCCCGTGGGAGAGGAACTTGCCGAGATTCCTATTAACGATTTGGGTGCTGGAGTTTCTGGAGAGCTTGGAAACGGGCTGGAGATGCAGCAGAGGGTTTCCATTTGTCTTTGGTGCTTGCAGGTGTGGAATACGGTCCCGGTCCTGGAGCGGGAATAGCAAATCTTGCCCATGGTCACTTTTGTCTGACGTTGGGCTGGAGCAAGCTGAAATGTGACTCCAGTTCCCTCTTGCGGATGCTGCCCCACCACTTGGACAAGGTCAGTCCCTGCTTTTGCTCTGGTACAGCGGAGAAACTTCATGGCTTTCTGCACTCAAACCCTGCCCTCAGTGCTGTTGAGCAGAGCAAGAGGATGAGTCTCTGCTGATCCATATGTTGTCGGAGCCTTGGGAACATCACCTCTGAGGGATTACTGGGAAGGGCTCTGCTTGCTGGAGATGGGCAGCTGTTGTGGCTTCAGGAGAGCAGAAGATGGTTTATGGCCACAATTCTGGTGCAGATTGAAGCACCTTCTGCTGCAAGTACGTTTTCATAGCAGGCAGCTGTTCCTGCTGGAGATGGAGGAAGGGACAGTGGGAGATGCTGCCTTATTTCCATGGTTACAAGGTGTTGCTGTTGGGCTTCATTAAGGGATAAACTGCTTGGCGTGTGAAAGTGGGATAATGTTAAGGGGGGAAAATGTGGGGTGGGGATGCAGGGAACAAACTGCTGTGAAGGAAGAGGGGTCTGATAGCTGGTGGGGAGCCAAACCCAGTGTGCAGGTACCCTGGCTGGCTGAAGCCTCTCCGGGGCTGGCAATATGATGGTGGTAGCTAAAGTTCTGCTCTTCTCTCTTAACCGCAAATCTATTTTCCTGAAGTATGCGTATTTTTGGGGGCTTTTTTGAAATCAATGTTTTCCTTTTGCTCTCTAGCAGAGATGCTGCTGGCGTTGCTCTGTGTGCATGCTGTCAGGCGACTGCCCTTGACATTGCTGAGCAGCAAGGCTTGGTGGATCAGGCTCCAGCACCTTTGCCCTACCTTCTGGAAGACTTAGCCCCTTACTCTGGTGGCTCTATCAAAAAAAAAAACAAAACTAAACAACTTGATGCCTGCTCCAGATGTTGCTTTTACAAACATACTCATGTGCGAGTCTGGCCCCAAAGAGCCAAACCGTACAATCTCAATGAGATGGCAGAGGTCCCTCCTACTTTGGAACTAGTAGAAACTTCATGCCGCCTCTTGTGAAGATACTGAATACACGCCCTTGCTTGACCCTGTTCCTTTCCACAGGCTGCCTTTCCTCTTGGAGCTGCCGTGTGGCCTGGAGGCGAGTTCCCTGGGGATGGGGAGGTGGGATGGTGGCCGTAAGCTCAGCTGTCCCTCTTTAAAGTGGTCTGGGCAGGTTCTGATTGCTGTGTGTGTCTTAGTACTGTAGGTTTTCCAACCATCTCTTTCCTGCTACCTGCATTGGACTAAGCATGGATGACTCAAGTAGGGTCGACTTGAGGGTGAACAAGCAGCTGGTACCCCTGTGATGAGCTGCGTTCAGATCAGCTGAGCTTTCGGAGCTCTCCTGGAGTACCGCATTTCGTTTTACCTCCTTAGTGGCATGTAGTAGTGGTAGCGTCAACGTCTCCAGGAGATGAGAAGTGGCTGGGTGGGATGGATGTGGGTCTGCGGTGCCCATTGGCTGCCGGGTACTGCTCTCCAGCTGGGATCGAGATCCTCGAACACATCCAGTGGGTGACGTGGATGCTGCAGGGTGAGCTCAATTTCCCTGACAGTCGCTTTGCTCTGCTTAATTGTGACTTGTAGGCACCTCATGAGTAGCGTCCGCACCATCCCTCAGGGTCTGGAGTTCAGAAGATCTTGCGTCCAAGATCCACTTGTATCTCAAACGCTTGTGGCTTGGCACAGAATTACGTAGGCGAGGTCTCGTCTCCATGTCCATCGTCCTGCTGCAGGCAGGTCTGCGTGGACCGCTCGGGGACTTGAACATCTCCAAGGATGGGGTTTCCTATCCAAGAGCTCCATTCCATTGTGTGATCACCCTCATGATTTTAAAATTAATAATAAAAATCTGTGTATCGGAGCTTCCTGTGTTGCAGCTTGAGCCCTTGCCTCTTGTCCTGTCCCCACCCCTCTCCACCAAGAGCCTGGCTTCTTCCCGTCCCCTCCGGATACGTCCTTGCAGGCAGCAGTGAGAGCCCCTGAGCTGACCCAGCGCCCTCGGCCTCTCCTTGTACCTCCTGGATGTGCTCCAGTATCTCTGTGCCTGCTTTTCTTGCGCTAGGGAACCCCAAACTAGACATGGGGTCCAGCTTGGGGTCTCAAAAGTGCTGAAGAGCGAGGAACAGTCAGCTCCTCCATAACCGCGGGGACTTCCCGATGCTCACGACAACCCCTCGAATCCACTAGTTCCTTCAATTTTCTACCTTATCGCCCATTTTTCCATATGTTTCTCAAGAAGGACTGTGTCGATGTTTGGGGTTGCTCAGGTTGCGCTTGGCTGGAAGGGGGTCGAGACCTGCACTCGGAGGGGTGTTCTCCAGAGCCAAAGCACTTTGCATGAACAGCTCAGTATGGTTGGATCTTGAGATGCCAACGGCGGTGGATCCGGCTCATCGGGGAGGAGAGAGGCAGGGTGGTGCGTCGCCAAGATCCTGTGGGTTTCATTTCATGGAATCGATGATCCCATCTGTGTTTAACGACGGAGCGACTGCAGAGTGCTGGGTTAGAGCCTCCAGATGAGCTCAGCGGGCGGAGGGCTACGTCCATCGCCCGTGGTGGCCGTCTCCGTGGACCTGGATTCAGTCTTGATGCTGAAACCAAGGGTCCTGCTCCTTGGAGCCGAAAGGCCGGTGGGTTTGGACCTTCACGTGCCCCCGTCGCTGCGGCAAAGCTCAAGGGACCACTCGAAGTCATCCTCGAAGAGATGTGGCTGCGGGGAGGGGGTACACCCCGGTCCCCCCCGCCCTGCTCCCCCAACCGCCGGCAGGCAGCTGCCTGCGCCCCAGCCCTGCCCTGGGCTCGTGTTTTCCCTACGGCTGTATTTTGGGAGCTGCTGGGGGGGGGGAAAGGAGGGACTCGCCACCTTTTTTCCTTTTTTCTGTCTTTTTTTGGGGGGGTTACCTGGTATTTCAGGGCTTGCAGCTGGTTCTTCAGCTTGATGATGTTGGGGGGGGGGTCCCCTGCGGGCGCAGCGCTCACTCTCGCCACCCCAGCTCCGTCCCCAAAAAGCTTTTCCTGTCCCCAAAAGTTTCACGGCTCTGGGGAAGGCAAGATTGGGGGGGGAGGGGTTTGGCCAAGTGGGGCCCGTACTCATGGAGGTGGGGGGGCTTAGCCTGGTGCCTCCCCCCTGCATGTTTTCTAGAGAGGAGGGGATTGCCTTTTTTTTTTTTTTTTTCCCCAGTAAAAGGGCATTTTTTTTGCACAAAACCTCGGCTCCTGCAAGTTGTGCCAGGCAGGGTCGGGGACCCCCGGGGCTGGGGTCCACCTGGCCAGGAGCTGCGAGGTCCCTGGACAAGGAGCCCGAGACCCCCAGGAAGGAGCCGGGGGATCCCCAGACA